CAACATAGGAGCACCTAAATACTTAAAGTAATTATTAACAGACATAAAAGTAGAAATAGACAGTAAAACAATAATGGTATGGCACTTTACCACTCCACTTATACCAATGGATAGATCATCCAAACTGAAGATCAATAAGGAAACATTGGCCTTAAATGACACATTAGACTAGATGGATTTAGTAGATATAAATAGAACATTCCATCCAAAAACTGCAGAATACACATTCTTTTCAAGTGCACATGGAACGTTCTCCAGGATTGAGCACATATTTGGCCACAAAACAAGTCTCAATAAATTCAAGAAGACTGAAATAATGCCAAGCATCTTTTCTGACCATAAAGTTACCAAACTAGAAATCAACTACAGGAAGAAAATCAGAGAAGTCATAAATATGTGGAGATTAAACAAAATGCTACCGAACAATGATTGGGTCAATGAAGAAATCAAAGGAGAAATAAAAAAGTACCTGGAGACAAATGATAATGAAAATACGACATGCCAAAAATCTATGGGATACAGCAAAAGCAGTTCTAAGAGGGAAGTTCATAGCAATACAGGCCTACCTCAACAGAAAAGAAAAATCCCAAGTAAACGATCTAACAGTAAACCTAAAGGAACTGGAAAAAGAAGAACAAACAAAGCCCCAAATCAGTAGAAGGAAGGAAATAACAAAAATCAGAGGAGAAATAATGAAATAAAGAGCAAAAGAAAATAGAAAAAAAATCAATGAAACCAAGAGCTGCTTCTTTGAAAAAATAAACAAAACTGACAAATTTTTACCTAGACTGACCAAGAAAAAGAAGAGAGAAGTCTCAAGTAAATAAAATCAGAAATGAAAAAGGAGCTGTTACAACAGATAGCTCAGAAATACAAAAGATTATAAGAGAATACTATGAAAACCTATACATCGACAAATTGGGTAATCTAGAAGAAATGGGTAAATTCTTATAATCATACAACCTTCCAAAACTGAATCAAGAAGAAATGAGAATTTGAATAGACCAATCACCAGTAAGGAGATTGAAACCATAATCAAAAACCTCCCAAAAAATAAAAGTGCAGGACCAGACAGCTTCCCTGGTGAATTCTACCAAACATTCAAAGAAGATTTAGTACCTTTCCTTCTCAAAGTCTTCTGCAAAATTAAAGAGGAGAGGAAGTTTCCTAATTCATTCTATGAAGCCAACATTACCCTGATACCAAAACCAGACAGGGACAGTATCACTGATGAACAGCAATGCAAAAATCTTCAACAGGGGCTGGCCCAGTGGTGCAGCGGTTAAGTGCGCACGTTCTGCTTCTCAGCAGCCTGGGGTTCGCCAGTTCAGATCCTGGATGCGGACATGGCACCGCTTGGTAAGCCATGCTGTGGCAGGCGTCCCACATATAAAGTAGAGGAAGATGGGCATCGATGTTAGCTCAGGGCCAGTCCTCTTCAGCAAAAAGAGAAGGATTGGCAGCAGTTCGCTCAGGGCTAATCTTCCTCAAAAAAAAAAAAAAATCTCAACAAAATACTAGAAAATCGAATACAACAATACATTAAAAAGATCATGTACAATGATCAAGTGGGATTTATTCCAGGAATGCAGGGATGGTCCAACATCTGCAAATCAATCAACATGATATAACACATTAACAAAATGAAGAATAAAAATCACATGATCATCTCAATAGATGCAGAGAAAGCATTTGGCAAGATACACCACCCATTTATGATAAAAACCCTGAATAAAATGGGTGTAGAAGGAAAGTACCTCAACATAATAAATCTCATATATGATAAGGCTACAGCTAAAATCATTCTCAATGGAGAAAAACAGAAAGCCATCCCTATAAGAACAGGAACCTGACAAGGATGCCCACTTTCACTACTCATTTAACGTAGTATTGGAAGTTCTAGCCGGAGCAATCAGGCAAGAAAAAGAAATAAAAGGGATCCAGATTGGAAAGGAAGAATTGAAACTGTCACTATTTGCAGATGACATGATTTTATATATAGAAAACCCTATAGAATCCAGTAAAAACTTTTAGAAATAATAAATGAATACAGTACAGTTGCAAGATACAAAATCAACATAAAAAAATCAGTTGCCTTTCTATACACTAACAACAAAGTAACAGAAAGAGAAATTAAGAATACAATCCCATTTACAATTGCAACAAAAATAATAAACTACTAGGAATAAACTTAACAAAAGAGGTGAAAGACCTGTACACTGAAAACTATAAGACATTGTTGAAAGAAATTGAAGAAGACACAAAGAAATGGAAAGATATTCTGTGCTCTTGGATTGGAAGAATTTGCATAGTTAAAATATCCATGCTTCCTAAAGCAACCTACAGATTCAATGTAATCCCTATCAAAGTGCCAATATCATTTTTCACAGAAATAGAACAAAGAATCCTAAAATTTATTTGGAACAACAAAAGATCCCGAATAGCCAAAGAAACCCTGAGAAAAAAGAACAAAGCTGGAGGTATCACACTCCTTGATTTCAAAATATACTACAAAGCCATAATAATCAAAACAGCACGGTACTGGCACAAAAACAGACACACAGATCAATGGAACAGAATTGAGAGCCCAGAAATAAACCCATGCATCTAGGGACAGCTAATTTTCTACAATGGAGCCAAAAACATACAATGGAGAAAGGAAAGTCTCTTCAATAAATGGTGTTGGGAAAACTGGACAGCTACATGCAAAAGAATGAAAGTGGACCACTATCTTACACCATGCACAAAAATCAACTCAAAATGGATTAAAGACTTGAATGTAAGACCTGAAACCACGAAACTTCTAGAAGAAAACATAGGCAGTACGCTCTTTGACATCAGTCTTAGCGGCATATTTTCAAGTATCATGTCTGATCAGGATAAGGCAAACAATAGAAAAAATAAACAAATGGGACTACATCAAACTGAAAAGCTCCTGCACAGCAAAGGCAACATCAACAAAACAAAAAGACAACTAACAATTGGGATTAGAAATTTTCAAACCATATATCTGATAAGGGGTTAATATCCAAAATATATAAAGAACTCATATATCTCAACAACAAAATAACTAGTAACCCAATTAAAAAATGGGCAAAAGATCTGAAAAGACATTTTTCCAAAGAAGATATACAGATGGTCAATAGACATATGAAAAGATGCTCAACATCTCTAACTATTACGGAAACGCAAATTAAAACTACAATGATGTCACTTCATGCCCATCAGCTATAATTAACAAGACAGGAAACAATAAGTGTTAGAGAGGATGTGGAGAGGAAGGAACCCTCATACACTGCTGGTGGGAGTGCAAACTGGTGCAGCCACTATGGAAAACAGTATAGACATTCCTCAAAAAATTAAGAATAGATCTACCATATGATCCAGCTATTCCACTGCTGGGTATTTATCCAAAGACCACGAAAACAAGAATGCACAAAGATATATGTATCCCTCTGATCATTGCAGCATCATTCATCACAGCCAAGACTTGGAAGCAACCTAGGTGCCCATCAAGGGACAAATGCATAAAGAAGATGGGGTATATATACACAATGGAATACTACTCAGCCATAAAAAGGATGAAATCTAGCCATTTGTGACAACATGGATGGCCCTCGATGGCATTATTTTAAGCAAAATAAGTCGGAGGGAGAAAGTCAAATACTGTATGATCTCAGTCATAAATAGAAGATAAAAACAATAACAAACGAACACATAAAGACAGAGATTGGCTTGGTGGTTACCAGAGGGAGAAGAGGTGAGAGAGTAGAGCAAAAGGGGTGATTAGGTGCATATGTACAATGATGGACTGTAATTAGTCTTTGGGTGGTAAACATGAAGTAATCTACACAGACATCGAAATATAATGATGTACACTCGAAATTTACATAATGTTATAAATCAATGTTACTGCAATAAAAAAGAATAAGTGAATTTAAAAAAAAAATTTAATTCCCATTAAAAAAAGAATAGGCAATCATAGAAGACATAGTGAGGTGATTTTTTTTTTTTTTGGTGAGGAAGATTGGCCCTGAGCTAATATCTGTTGCCAATGTTCCTCTGTTTGCTTGAGGAAGATTGTTGCTGCGCTAACATCTATGCCAATCTTCCTCTATTTTGTATGTGGAACGCTGCCACAACATGGCTTGATGAGTGATGTGTACATTTGCGCCTGGGATCCAAACCCAGGAACCCCAGGCCTCCAAAGCAGAGCATGCAAACTAACCACCACGCTACCGGGCCAGCCCCTCATAGTGAGAGATTTTAATAAATCTCCCAGTAACTGACAGAAAAGAAGACCCAAACCCAAACCAAACCAAAGCAAACTCAATAAAATGAAAAAAGTAAAAAGGATAAATGTATGTAATATTTGAACAAAATGGCATACTGAGGTACATAGACAGCTAACCGTGCACCTAAAAAATGCAGCATACACATTCTTTTCAAAAACATACAGAATGCTGGCCGTATTCTGGGCAATAAAACAAATCTCAACAAATTTCAAAGAGGAGAAATAATAGAAAGGATGTTCTCTGCCTATGGTGGACTTGAGCGGGAAGCCAATAAGGGAAAAAACAATTAGAAAATCGATTACGGTTAGAAGTGAATACAGCTGTAATAGCCCCAGGTGAAGAAAGAAGTCGCGGTGCAAGTGAAGCCACGTTTTAAAGTGAGAGAAACTAATCACAGGCATGTCAGGCCGGGAGGGGACGGTCAGATGTGGCTTCTGGAGGAGCAGTGCCAGGGCGAAGGTGAGAGGGAGCCTCCCCGGCTCCGCATTGCTGGCCACACACCTTGTACTCCCTGGGCCGGCTGGGGTGTGGGCTGCAGCCAAGGTCACAGGCAGGCTCGGCCTTGGCCTCCGCAACCCCCCACCCCCACCCGGCATGGGCTTCTGGGCATCCCTGCACTGGGGAGGGCGAGCGAGGGGCCCGCAGGCCCTGCAGGAGTCGGGCCGCCGCGGCAGGAGGGAAACTGTCAGGATGCAGCTCAGGCAAACCGTCCCGGAAATGTGCAGGATCCGAGCGTGTGCATGCGTTACCTTGCATCCAAGATTTTTGTGACAAGTGGGTGGAAAACGTGGCCCCCTGTTCTGCCTTCTGTTTGGTGACAATGGGAGAGACAAGGCAGGGGGATGGAGAGAAGGGGCTGGACAGACGCACCAGTCTAAGAGGACGGGTCAGCAGCTCAGGGCCTCCGCGGGGCAGGGCTGTGTGGGTTGCGGAGCTACGGAGGGCTGCTGCGCAGGAGCTGCCACCCTGCTTCCCCGCGCGTGGCCAGCCCTCTGTGCTGACGCTGGACAGCATGTTCCTGAAGGTGCCGCTGTTTCTAGGGCTCATTGTGCTGGGCACTCATGTCTGGACCATTCAAAAGGAATTTGTAAACATTTATAAGAAGCACGATTATTTTGTGGCATCTGTGGAGTTTGCCGTGGCTCGGTTCAATGACGACAATATGGAAATGAATGCATACAGGCTGCTGGAGGTCCGGCGAGCGCAGCAAAAGGTAAGTGGCAGTCAGTCCGCCCACGCCCGGATTCCGGTCCCCACTGAGCAGCCCTGAGGCGGTGTGATGTCGCCAGGGCTCTGAGGCGCAGGGCCCACGTCCGCACCACACTCCTGAAGAGATGGGAGGGGCCCCGTCTGCACACAGGGCACCGGCGTCCCTCGGTCTTTCCCATTTCCTGACCTCGGCCCCTCCTTGGGCTGCATCTCAGCCCTGGGCCCGGAGAGGTTCCAAGAGCCCCTCGGGCACCGAGGCCACTGCTGCTGCCCCCGCCTGAGCCGGGGTCCTGCCTCGGGGTCTGGGGACGCTGCAGGGGGCTGGGAGTGCGCGTGTGCGTGGGGGGTGTTGTTGGTGTGTGTCGGGGCATGAGTGGGTGTCAGGTGTCAGTTGCAGAATTCCTGAGCTTCAAACAAGTCAGCTTTCCAGACAATTCCAGGTCAGCCTAGTAGAGGTGGGCTTCTCCTCAAGGTGATTTCTCTCTCTGTTTGAGTTCTTCCGGAACTTTTATGAACTTCTATTTAGGGGAATGAAATCACACCTTTTAATAAGTTCTTATCGAAACCTAGTAAACTCACGAAACAGCGCCTGATTCATAAATATGCACCTCGACAAAAGACTGCGGGAGGAGCCCGTGCATGCAGCTATTTCCCACGGGTAGAGACCGAGTGCTCCCAGCCCTCGGGACCCCCTACATCCTGGTCGAGTGCTTCTCCCAGAAAGGACAGCCCCGCTCTGATGGCTGCTCGGTGCGCTGCCCCGCCCCTCGTCCTGCTGCCCATCAACGGCCCCGCTCCGTGTGCTCGCTGTGTCTGGCGGGCGCTGCTCCAGCGTGGATTCAGAGAGCGGTCACGCCATCAGGGTTGGCTTAGCGTGTGCGGGTGCAGTGCCTGGAGCTCAAGTCCCGTGAACATGCCACCCTGTGTGTTCACGGCACCGTCCACGTGACCGCCAGGTATCGGCCGCAGGAGGAGAGCGGCGGGGAGGATTCCAGCGCATGCTGTAGGCGCATGCAGGGACACCTTTCTGTGCATTATTTGCTTATAGAGAAATTGCACACGATTTGTATATACTATTTACATGCATGTTCTAGTCTTTTGCCCACTTTTCTACCTGATTCTCTGCCTCATTCGTGAAAAGAAAATATTTAGCAGCTGTTTTACAATTTCTTCGTCACAGAGGTGGACCATGATCTATCTGATGGACTTGGAGATGGGCCGCACGACATGTGAAAAACACGTTGAAGACATTGACAACTGCCCCTTGCAAGAAGGCCCAGGAGAGAAAAAGGTTTGAAAATAAAATCAACCCAAAGTGTCACGAACCTTCTGGGAACAAAATGTAATGTGAAGGAAGGCGTCTTAGAAAACCTACAGTCCTCCCGTGTACCTCCTTACTCCTCGTACAGAACACTTGGCTCTGGACACTTCAGGTCCCCAAGTGTGTTGGGGTCTTTCTCCCACCAAGTGATTCCCTGTGACATCAGCTCTCTACCTGGAGACAGCATCCGATCCCTCAGGTTAAGGGCTCAGTCCCACAAGACTGCCGCTCCCCCGCCATTCAGATACCAATCACAAGTAGCCGGTCCTCAGGTTCCCCACGACATCTGTCCAGTTTGGCTACACACCAGAGGTTCCCATGACCCCTCCGCAGGTTGGATTAATTTGCTAGAGCAGCTCACAGAACTCGGGGAAACACTTATGTACCTTTACCAGTTCATTGAAGGATACAATACAGGAGACAGATGCATGACCAGGTGAAGAGATGCCCAGGGCGAGGTCTGGGAGGCTCCCGAGCACGGGAGCTTGTATCCCTGTGCACAGGGGGTGCCAGACCCTCCCTGTGTGGGTGTGTTCACCACCTGGGAGCTCCCTGAAACCCTTGCGGGTGGGATTTTTACGGAGGCTTCCTCATGTAGGCGCAGTCAATTATTAGCTCCGTTTCCAGCTCCTCTCCTCTCTCTGGAGGATGAGGGCTGAGGCTGAATTCCAGGATCTAATCTTGGCTTAGTCTTTCTGGTGACCAGCCCCCATCCAGGAGCCATCCAGCAGCCCACCCAGAGTCACTTCATGAGAACAAGACATGCCCCTGGTGTTCTTACTACCTAGGAATTTATGAGGGTTTTAGGAGCTCTGTGCCAGCTACTGTGGCAGAAACCAATATATATTTTCTATTATCTAACAGCAGGCCTGGGGAGGAGACTGGAGAATCATCAAGGACGGCCTGGGCAGAGCGGGGGCCTGGCCCCTCTCCCTGAGGTCCCGGGGCTTCCGCTGGAGGGAGGGGGCCATTTTGAGCAGATAGGGCTGCTTCCAGCAGAGCAGTGGACTGAGCCTGTGCTCACAGCCTGTCTGGCTGAGCAGAGACACCCTGCAGACCCCACGTGACCTTCCCGCCTGGAGGGAGCGCTCCCCCAGGTCCCAGCCTCAAAGCTGCCTGAGACCTCAGGCTTCAGGCAGAGGATGCTCTCCCCGTGGGCCTCCCTGCTCCTTTGGGCCTGTGATTTGGGTTGAAGGACTGTGTGGTTTGTCGGGTCATCTCACCTTTCCCTCTGGTCTCAGGGCTGCAAGGCCATGTCTGGTCTGTCTGCGTCCTCCTGTCATCGCCCTATGAGCTGACACCTGGTCCACGGGGCTTGGAGCGTGGGGAAGGCCTTAGTCAGGGTGATGCCCTTGGTGAGAGTGGTCTGCCCCACAGACGCAGCCTTGGGGGCAGCCTCCCCTGGGGCGGGTTTGCCACTGTCGTTGACTGGGTGGGGCTCAGCTGGACTGTCTCCTGGGCAGTGTGCCAGCTCCCTCAGAACTCACAGGATGGGGGTCCTTCGTGGAGCGTCTCGTGCCCCCGGCAGGACCCCTGAGAGGCAGGCGGTGGCCCCACCAGGCACCCTCTCAGGAGCCCCTGTCCTGGGTGGGCGGATCCAGCAACCCCTGCCCATCACCCTGGTGGGGCCTTGAGCTTCTCAAGCCCTGCCCCAGGTTGCTCTTTCTCCTTTCTTCCCTCTTGTAGTTTTCGATGGCTCTCGAGCTCCTATTCAGTCCTTCACGCTAAGTGCTCTCAGTGTCGCATTGTCCTGATTTCTGTCATATGATTACTTTTTTCCAGATGGGCTGCACTTTCATTGTGGATGCTCGACCCTGGTTTTCCCAGTTCACCCTCCTGAACAGCACCTGTGTCTAGGAAAGGCAGGCAAGGAGCCCCTGGCTTCTCAAGGCAGAAGTTCCTTTTCTGCTGGAGGGTGACAGTCAAAGGTCTGTGCAGCGGCAGGGGGAATAAAGGCATCTGAGAGCACTTCCTGTGTCCCTGTCAGCTTTCCACTCTCCCGGGTCGTTTATTCTCCACGAATGTCACTGCCGGCGACAAGTGGCGGGGAATTTATCATTATAGCACTTACCTTGGCTGCAGGTGCGGAGCGTTGAGTAGAGCAAACCCCCCAGTTGGTGTGAGGCTGTCCTTACTGGTTCTGGTGGGGCCCCACTGGATGGTTTGTGTGCTCATTCATTCATTCTGCCATTTGTTTCTTCATTCATCTCCAATCCCACCATGCCCTTCATCCATTTCTCTTGAAAGGAATGCAGACAATTCTGTCAGGGAACAGCTACCCACATCCCCTCCGCCTCCGTGTCTGGGGCCAGACTCACAGTGGGTGGTGCTTCTCCAGGTGGGCTACACCCAGACACACAGGTGGTGGGGGGCAACTGGAGCTGAGAGAAGGCTCTGCTGTCTTGGGCCCCATCAGGGGCATCTGCTCCAGGAGGCCTGACTGATGAGGATGTCTTCTCCAGGGCCTGCAGGGATGGCTCAGAATTTGGCAGCTCCAGTCACCACGTCCCCACCTGCTCCCTGAGGCATTTATTCCCCCATGAGGGCCCAGCCTGGCCTCCTTGGCCACCAACACCAATCACTCCCCCTTGGACAGGCACCGTGGTGACAGACACCCACCCTGATGAGCAGCTCTCTCTTCTTGGGTCCTGGTGGGGAGCAGCCCTGGAGGGACAGAGAGATGGAGGGCATGGAGGGTATGGGGAATGACTGGGACAGTGAGGCCTTGGCCATGCCACCTGGGGGAATACTTGAGAAGGGAGAGCTGAGGGGTTCCCCTGCTCCTCCTGGGTCCCTGGGGTTCTGGTTTGAGTGTCCCTGGTTGAATGTCTGCCCCTTTCCTGACTGATTTATTCCCACGATGTGGCTGTAACAACTAACGAGATAAATTTCCCTGCACAGCTGTGGACAGCCCCATTGGGCCCAGCACAGAGACTTTGGCCTGAGCCTGCTTTGGTCCTTTGACCAGCTGCATGTAGGATTTCTAACCTCTCCCTGCTATTTGATCGGGGCATATACAAACTTACAGTGGCGTGTGTGTGGTCACTAAAGCTGGCCTATAAGCTGCCCTTGGCTTGAGTGCAAGTGGGCTCGAGCCATTGTTCATGGGTCCCGTGCTGGTCAGGGACACAGCCAGACCCTCCCTGAGTGCCAGTCCGTGCTGCTCACAGGTAGACACCTTCAACCCAACTCCCACTTCCATCGGGAAGGCCTGGGGTCTTGCTCTTTTCAATTTGCTGTGGTTTGATCTCAGATGCACCTTACGTGCACCAGGGGGCTTTGCAAATGTTCCCCATGTTCGTGCCAGGACCCTCAGCATTAGGGTGCAGACCCTGGCTTATTTCAAATGCTCCCCTGCCGATTCTAAGAGGCTCCTTCCTGTTGGGGCCCAGGGCACGGATGGAGGTGCCCCATTCTGACTGTGGCCTGTCTGCTGGTTGCAGCTGTAACTGGAAACATAGTCTTTTGGGAACCGAACGCCACAGTTTTGCTTCTTTATTGGGGATTACAATAGTTCTATTCATGGTGTCTAGATAAGAGGAGCAGCACTTCCCAGGGCCTGAGGGAGAGCCTGGGCGACCTTAGAGCAGCTCTCAGGAACTGATAGAGCCTGCAAGGTCAGAGTCAGAAGATACACACAGAAGTGAGGAGTCCATTTAACAAATTTGATTTTTGGTTACTGTTGAGTGTTGAGCTAAGCTACTCCATGGTAATGCTGCCTCAGCATCCACCTTGTGTGGCCAAGCGGCCCGCAGGGACCTGAAACTGACCCCGGACCCTCGTGCAAGCACACGCCCTGGACAGCAGCCGGCAGAGTCACAGCACATGGGAGGTCCCGGGCAGCCTCCCAGCAGCCCTGTGGTCAGCAGCCTCCCCTGCCTCCGTGGGCTTCCCCTGTGCACGTAGAAAAGACGCCTGTGGAGCTCATGGAAGCCCCGCTCTTTGGGTTTGGATTGACTGATCTGCCTTACCCCGGGACCCCACCTGTGGACACTAATAAAGGCGTGTCCGCAGGCCCCGCCTCTCCCCGTCTACACTCTGCCTTGACTTTCCTGAGCGGCTCCTCGCCGTGTGCCGTGGGCTTCCTCCAGGGCTTGTGAGTAATAACCTTCTCTGTTTTTGTTTCTCTTGTGGTCCACTGTTGAACCCAGACTCGCCAGCCATCAGGCGCTCTGTGCTCCACTTAACAAGCGTTCATTTGACGAATTCCTAACAGCCCGGCAGAATATTCACGCACGCTGCAGAACGTGCATTCTTTTGAGCTGATAGCACATTTGTCCGTATTGAGTGGATTCTGATCCATAAAGCAAATCTTAATGAATTCCAGAGAACTGATGTCACATAGAATAGGCTCTCTAGCCACAGCGAGGTGCAGGCAGACATTAAGGGGAAAAATGTTTGCAAACTCAGCCGCACTTCTCTGAATAACACGTGGGTTGGAGAAGCAATCTCAGTGCAGGTGGAGCAGGTGGGCAGGTAGGCGCAAGGGTGTCCTCTATTCCGTCTACACTCCCTTCTCTTCCTGTGCTAGCCCGGGGCCTGTCCTTCCCCACGGCTGAGGCCCGGGCCCCGCCTCCTTTCTGGGACCTCCATTAGTGTACAGGTGTCCATGTTCCCCAGGCTCCAGGTGGGAAAATCATTGTAGAGTAGAGTGTCCTCATGCATGCGGGCAGCATGTCGCACTTTCCTGGCCTGCCCGCTCCCCTTGCCTTGTTCACGCACCAGGCAGGGCACGCATTGGTACCACGGTTCCTCTGAGAAGAACCTGGCACGGCGACGCGGCAAAGGTCACGGGACCGGACTGTGGCAGAGCTGCATGAGAATGCATGTCAGCTGGGCTAGGCAGGGCTGCCCTTCCCCGCCCTGACACCTCATGCCCGTGGTTGCTGTTCACGGCCATTCCAGCAGAGTCCTGCCTCGGACTAGCTTCCCTCTGCTCCTGGGCATTCTCTCTGCCCACCTCAGGATGTTAGAAACCCCTCTCTCCCTTGCCAAGCACAGCCAGGCCTCATGGCAAGTAGGTCAGCAGGTGCCAGAGGTGGTTAGAGGATGGTACCCCAGCCTTGATGCTGACCCCCCCGTGCCCTCCTGATGCTCCCTGAGGTCGTGGGCTACAGCCAAGGTCAGAGGTAGACCTGGTTTTTACCTCAACTCCCCAGGACTCAGGACTCACCAGTATTCTTAAGAATTCCCGTGACTCTGCCAGTCCTGGGCTACACTGCCACGAGGGCAAGCAAATGGGCTCATGACTCCCCCCATCCCCAGGCCCTATCAGGGTCGGGCTAGGGCACCAGGAGGCTGCCTTGGAAATGTGCAAGGAACAGAGTGTGTTGCTGGCATGTCCCTAGGTCAAAGGCTTATGTGACAAGGGAGTGGAAAATGTGACCCCTGCTCTGCCTACCATTTGGTGATGATGGGAGGGACAAGGTAGGGGGCAGGGAGGAGGGGCTGCACAGAGGCGCTGGTCAGCAGCTCAAGGCCTCTGTGGGGCAGGCTGCGTGGGATGTGGAGCAGTGGAGAGCGGCCCAATAGCAGCCACACCCCACACTCCGTGTGCCGCTGGCCTCCAGGGCTGACACCGGGCAGCATGTTCTCGAGGGCGCCTCTGCTTCTGGCGCTCATTGTGCTGGGGCCTCACGTCTACAGATGTGGCTTTGTGGACATCGGTAAGAACACGAGCTTCTTCCGCATGTGTGTGGAGTTTGCCAAGTTTCAGTTCAACCAAGCCCAGCCAGATGAGTATGCCTACAAGCTGCTGTGGGTGGGGCGAAGCCAGCGCGAGGTGAGTGGCTCTCTTCCCTCCCTGGGGGCTCCACGTTCACCCCAAAACCAAGCCTGGGAGGCGCGAATCCTTGTTCTGCAGGAAACAGCAATGGGCGTTCTAACTTGGTGAATATTTTTTAAGAATACAGGATATCACCAGATGTGTCCCAAGTTTCTTTTTGTTTCCTTAATGAGTAGAGTCCTTGAAAAACAGGGTAGAGAGGAAGGCAGGACAGCAGAAAGGAAAGCATTAAAGTCAGACATTCAGATGTGGTGTGTGGAGAGAAAAACAGCGTCCTATATGAGAGAGTGGAGAGACGCGAGAACAGCAGAGAGAGACCAGTAATGAGAAAGACAGAGAGAGGCGGTAGCCGACAGACAGAAGCCCAACGAGAAAAGGCATCCCAGAGGAGAGCTGACTGCAGGCCGCGGCCGGGCTCCAGGGAGCCTCGTGGGGCCCATAAGCCAGGCCGGATGCAGAGATGATGCTCCTGCCTGAAGTCCGTGGCCTTGACTGCCCAGCCACTGTGGGTCCGGGCCTGGGCAGGAGGTGGCAGAGAAGACAGACACGTTCTCATGGAACCATTATGCTGGTGACGAGAGGCAAACAGACCTCAAGTTCATGAGTGAAACAGTGGAAGACTGGGACAATAGGGGTCAGTGAAGGGCCTCAGGGCTGTGGGGAGGTGAGGAATTTGGGAGTGGTCAGAGAAGGCCGTTGTGTGATGGACACTCCTGGAAGGACCCAGCCACGTAGGGGTTTGGGGAGAAGAAGGACAAGCAGCCACAGAGAGGCCCCTGGACCAGGACAAGCCCCGAGTGCCCAGGAGGCCTGACAGTCTCAGAGTAATGGCACCCATGGGAGGGAGTCACTCAGGTGCTTTAGCAATCATCTCTCTGGACCCTGTGGGTGCAGTGGGCTCCACAACCTGCGGGCAAGCTGACACCAGCACGCAGGGGATGGTCGCCTAGTCACTAGGAGGTACAAGAGATGCTGGCTTCTTGGGGCCAGCCCTGTGGCTGTGTGGTTAAGTTCGCACACTCTGTTTTGGCGGCCGGGGGTTTGCTGGTTTGGATCCTGGGGGTGGACTTAGCATGGCTCATCAAGCCATGCTGAGGTGATGTCCCACATAGAAGAAGTGGAAGAACCTACAAGTAGAATATACGACTATGTACTGCGGGGCTTTGGGGAGAAAAAAAAAGAA